CAAATTGTTGGCACTGAGATAAAATTGTGCCATTTTCAACAATAGCTTTAAAAGGTCCTTGTATTTCCCATTAACTATATCTTCTTCCTTGAGCCCTTGGCAAAGTGTTTCCCTTACATCATGTAAATCACCTGTGTCTATTTGATTAATTTTTTTAAGCGCCTCTTTATAAGAAAGAAGTCTTGGTACTGGAATGTTGCTCATGATTTCAATATGCTTTATTTTAACCCCAGCATCATCTAAGCACATTGTTAATGATGTCCTTATTGAATTATACTTCTGCTTGCTTGCAATGCCACCCCTGTACAAAATATTTACACTTCTAATAAAATTTGTCTGACTCTTCTCAAAAATATTAATCTTCTGTTTTACAATTTTAGGAATAACTTTTCATTACCATTTGCAGTTTTCACAATGGTGTCAATCAGCCACATTCGCTCTTACGAAGGGCTAACGCTCGAAACGTCAGCTTTTTAACTCTTTACGGAGGCCAATTTATAATTTCAACTTAGTTGATATAACCAAATTACCTTTGTGTAGTGTTGGGTACCCTGTGGTACCACGCCTCGATTTCATGCAAGTGTTCTGGTAGCATGCTTTCTTTATATGGCGGATTAAACCATCCAGTTGTGTTTATAATCCAGTGTATTTCGTGTTTGATTTCGGCCATTGAACAACACACTAATTGAACCTCCCACATTCTGATCTCCAAGAGTAAACCTTCTTGTAGTTCTCTCTGAGCTGTCTGGCATTGGTTTGTCTCCTCTCTGGACTTTGGTGGAACGCCTCACTAATCCTCCATACCCATTCGTCTGTATCATCATCTGTTTGAACAATAACAGATCTTCCGCCTTCTATTTCCTGCAAAGTCTCACCATTCCAGATTCACCAGAAACAAGAACTGTAATGCCAGCCGAAATGGCCTCAGGGTAACCAATCCAGAGCCTTCAGTTCGTTAAGGAAGAGCAAGCAAGTCTGACTGTTGAAACATTCCTTTTAGTTCATCTTGTTCATTGAAATAATCATGAATGGTAATCTGCTTACGTTTTCTGCATGTTCTCAAGAAATCATTGTACTATGTTTCTGTGGTCACCAGGAAAAGAGCCAACAAAAGTGAGCTCAAACTCCCCTCCTAGAGAGCCTGTGGCCTACTATATCATAGCACTTTAGAGTAAGGTCTTCACAGGTTGCTCAGCCAAACTCGAAGACATTGAATTTCTTCAAGAACATGTTAGACTTATAGACATTCGACATCCGATGTATTTTTGACTCTGTCCGTTCATTGGAAAAATTGTCCACAATTCCAACTCCACTTTAGCATTTAGCAGACTTCTGATGTACTTCTGATGTAGACGGGAGCCAACAGCTACAACTGCATCCGCTGCTTTACACAACTCGCTCAGTTTCCATCTTGTGCTTCTTGTCGTTCTCTTCGATTGTATCTGTGGCAGCCAAGGGAGTTTCTTTGTATTTGCCAAGGTCCTCACATGAGACATGCACAAACTGAACCATTTACATTTTGTAGCTCGTAGAACGAAGCATGCAGGAATTCCCAGTTTTCTGCCATGACCTCACAATGTGCGGATACTGAAGCTCTGGTGGTGGAACTTTTAGCCAATCCAAGGGATCTTTTGATCCAGGAACATTCTGAGCGGTTATTAAAGTCACTCGATGCTGAATGGCATCTTCTCTGTCCTGATCATCGCTTTGCGAGACGTAGCACTGGATTTTCATGCTGCCAATCATCACTTGTGCTAAATTAATAGTAAATTCGCGATTGAAAGTTGGTAATCCACCCTTCGAAGATTTCCACTCGTCACAGAGAAACATTACATCAATAAGCCTCTGTTCTTTCTGCTCCTCTTCTCTACTGGCAGCGGTCGAAGCCTCCCGAGACGCCATTTGTTGGTATTGCTTTGCTTTGCACTACCTCCAGGTAATACTACATAATCGTCCATCGTTTCTGAGTACGTGTAGGTGGCTCGACAAGATATACTTCGTCAGTTCCTACGCCTTTTCCCGTGCTGAACATTTTTGTGATATCACACTACAATAAAACGATGAAGTTTGTTTCTTGTTTTTTTATTTCTTTCTTTATGTAATCACCTTATAAGCAAACACGATTTTCTTGAGACAGGTTAAACAATTATCAATATTTGCAAGTCTTAGTAAAGAAGAATTTGAAACTCTTCTTCAAAACGGATTGAGCTTTCTATAAATACGGAAGTCAAGAAAATTATGCTCAAATGATAAACTCTGGTTACTTCTTTTTCTTTCCATTCATTTGGAGTTGAAAAGAAAAAGGTGCTCATTTGCTCTTGGGGTTTCCTTGTGGACCAAACCCAATTTGAGATCACATCAGTCAAAATCTGTGCCATTCAAGTTTTCTATCCAAATATTTTAATGGGGTCTAACCGTCAACCCGTATCAGAGGGCCTTAGATTTAATCGCCATCCGTCAAAAAGGATAATTTTTTACCGTAAACCGTCAACAAAGCAGCTCAATATTAACCATCAAACGCTTCAAAGGTCTTTTGGATCTTGCTATTTTCCCGATTTTGCGCTGCTTAGCCAGATCTTTAAACTGGTAAACCAGCCCCAGGTTTCCATATATTCTCCCGTCTTTCGACCAAGTCATTAGAGGCAAGTTTACATATGATGTCGAGCGTGTTGAAAGCCGTCGTTACCATCTATCGTAAAGGAGATAAAGCTCTCTAGCGATTCAAGACCAGGATTTCTGTTAAGGAAAATCATTGGAAGCCTTCGACAACACATCCTTGATTTCCTAGCGATCAATTACTTGTCCACCAAATCTGGGCGTGGATCATATGGACTAATTTGCAAGCTATACAGGCTTATAAGATTAGTAAACCTCCGCGCCGTTTCACATTTGAAACATGAAACCTTAAGCGTCCTGCAATATGCTATGATGGAGTCCCTTAAGTGAATCCCTAAGTGGGCGGCCAAGTGCTATCATACTCACCCTGGCTCTAATACCTAGTGCCCCAGTCTATTATGCATTTCCAGTCTGNGGGTTTTAGGTCTCTGATGAAAAGCATTTCGTTCACCAAACAATCGAACTTGTTACTACACTTTTTCAGAATGCTAAAACGTTTCAGTAGGTCTTTCGGGACTTCGCTGTGCCGTTCGTGGTAGTGTTTATATATTGAAGATGCCTTTCGTTTATGTCCATCCACGCATGTGTGTAAGTGTCCGCGTGTATAGCCCACATAACCCGCATCGCACACGTCACATTGAAATTGATAGACGACGCGTTGTTGGTTGACGATCTATTTATTGAACTACTGTTGACGGTCTATTTATTGAACTATTGCCTTCTGAGACAATTTTCGAAAAGGAAGTTGTCACAAAGGGAGGATAGCGAAATACAGACCAGAGAGACAGAGAAAAGTCAGAGCAGAGATAAGGAGAAAAGTAGTGCACTCCCCCAGCTATTTACACACAGCGCAAACCTCTGATGACGACTGTGAGGAAGACGATGAATCTCTTAGTTCTATAATCGCAACTGAGATATTTGTTTTGTCCAACAACAACCTTTGTTATTAACACAAGTCGACAAAAGGATTAAGAAACTAGTGTTATTGCACGTATTCTCACAACATGGTGAGAATTTTTCTACTATATAAAACATCCACGAAATCGTTCATTGGCTTTGTTGGCACGAGGATGAAATCACTCGTTGGCTCAATCAACACGTGTAAATCTGATAAAAGAAGAATCTTGAAAATAATTTACAGTTCAATGGGAAAACAAGAATTACAGGTCATAGTAACTAAAAAACAACACAGACTCACTCTCTGTTTGATTACCATGGTCTGTAAAATCTAAAAGGACATCAAATACTAGATTTAAGCAGATTCAACATTGTCAAATTAAGATCATAGAAACTGAAATATACCAAATAAAATCCCTACAGCAAAGTCATTTCGTCAATTCAAATTAGACACGTGCGGTCACATAAACTGACCTTGCTAAAAGTAAAATATTTGACATGAAAGGCTTTCGGAGCGAATTCAATTTGTTTCTGAGTGATGACACTGACCCAAGATCATGTTTTAATGGTAAAAAAAAAAAACAGCCACGTGACGTGAGTTAACGATGTGACCGTTGTTACAATACTGTAATAACTTGACAACGCCAGGGAGACTTTGAAATGATTTTCACGGAAATTGCCACAGAAAAAGATAAGTACCTTCTTGCTTGTTATTCGTATTTATTTGTGACTCATAGTGAAGTAGAATTTGTAAATTTATAACGGTCAATCCTAGGTTTGACATTCTCGCAGCACAAATCCAAACTGTGAGATTTTTCATCCCAAGAATAATCAGAGCTAATGTCAGGAACGAAACCGAAGTCTCAGTGAATTTTTTGTAAGTCATCCCCAGCCTCCAACTTTATCTGATACTTGTTTAAATTGATAATTAAATAATTTGGATATATCAACAAAGTTGAAATGGTAAATTGGCCACCGTAACGATTACAAAAGCTGACGTTTCGAGCGTTAGCCCTTCGTCGGAGCGAATAGAGGAGTTGNAAGCAATAGCGAAAATCAGCCTGATTTTTTTCAGGTCTGATTTTCGCTATTGCTTAAATAGCGCTATCTACTGCGAGGATCGTGCATCATATGTATGTGGCTTTAAAAGCCACAATTTAAGTGTCAGGCAAGAAATTTCCTCTTCAATCATCGTGGGAAAAGAAGTTACATCATAAATAAAATTTGTTTAAACTGTGATCATTTTGCTTTGCTCCAAGATTGCACTTGTGTCACAAAATGGGGCGTTTTCCCGCTTAACTTTACAAAATTTATTCCAAATTTACTATATTTTCGTTGCGTAAAAGCAGTTATTTTATCTAATGTGTGATCTCAGCCTCTTAGCCGCTGACCATAAGTCTCTGGACACCTTCACTGCCTCATCCGGACCACCTTTACCATCAAAAAATCCAAATATTTTAGCTTCGGTGAAGTTTTTAAAGGGTTTAAGAAACCTGGAACCTTTTCCATCATATTTCACTACTTCCTTTACTTCAAGGAACAGTTTTCCATCCGAGATTTTGTAGATCGAAGTTTTATCATGTCTGAGAAAAGAAATTTTATTTTGGAAGCCACTTGCCAATTCCAAACTCGTATCGTCTGTTTTGCTGAGGACTGATTTTGTTCTAAACATTTCGTAACCAGGTGAGCTCATAACTTCGTCTTTATCATCTCCAAGTTTTCTTTCGGAACAGACGGTGACGCGGAAATCAATGTAAGGTGACGTCGCTCTTGCAAGGCGCGGGGCTTTGACGTCTGCGACCACCCAGTTAATGGGAGGGATTTTTAAGTCAAAAAATTGCAACTCGCTGTCATAGAGCACGGTTTTGATGTGGTTCCTGCCTTCTTTTATTCCCAGGGTGTATGTTTCTTCATAGCTTTTAATTTGTGGGAAGGTCTTGGGAACGCTGCAGTCCAGATCTTACCATCGCCCAACAATGGTAGAAATTTGTGTCATAAGATTTTTTGGCAGGGCATGAATGGATCCGGGCCGGTTTTTAGCATCCGCGTTCTGACTCAGAATTTTCTCAACGGCTCCAACGTTTGATGCAAAAATCTGTGCGTTTTGAACATAAATGGTACCAAATTCAGCCCTGATCATCAGTCTTTCAGTACCATGAACGTGAGGTAAATGCTCCCGGTTAAAAACCCTCATTTGAGAGGAAATCAAGGTGAGGAACTTCCTTTCTGCCAAATCGTCGTTGGGCTCATCATCGAGGCAAAGCCGTAGTGATTCATTCAAACGATCTAGGTTTACTGCACAGTCTCCTTTCTTCAGGCGCTTAAAACTTACTGAATCATTTGGCTCATTTTGGTCCAAGAAAAGAAACTGACTGGCCCCACTCACGGTATGGTCGTAAATGTACGAGGTGCAGGTTGTTTCGATCTTCTCCAGTTCATTTTGAACAGTGTGTAGCGTGAGATAATTTCCTGTGGCCTCAAGAATGTAACCAGTCTGAGCTGAAAATGAAGAGAGCAATCCAGCAGAATTAATTTACGAGATAGTTTAAAGTTCGATCCGTCATCATTAATGTCGAGTTATAGCTTACAGTGGAAGCTATTGATCAGCTTAATAAGGTCAGGTTACATACACTCGTTAATAACATATCTTGGTATCATTTCTGCGTTTAGTAGACGCGGACCAATTTAGCGTCCGGATCGCGATGCGGAGAAACCTGCTGAGCTATCAGCATGCACTCTAAACTCTGGTATTAAGGACGGTGCCTGCTAATAGGGATCTAATTTTGCCCAGCCAATGACTATGCAAGCCAAAATATATTCTACCAAGGCTATCAAAATCCAATAAAAAAAAAATGGGGTTACCTATCACTCTCACTTGCACAGCCAAAAGTATGGGTTACTCTGCGTTTTTTTAAGTTATTTCATTATTTTTAAATTTGTGATCACACTTTGGTCAAGTTTTCTTAAATCCTCCCCTGTAAGTTAACACACTGAAACCCGCGTAGCGCGATTGTCTCGCGTGAGAGACGCTTTCCCCCTACCTTCCCATGCTACTTAGTACTAACGCGATCTCAACAAATGATCAAACTGAAGTCCTAACGGCCAACTTTCAAAATTTTCAAGTCGGATTATCCGTTCCGTTCTTTTCCGACCGCGTTCGACCTTCTAGAGCTCAAAATGGAAACTGAATAAGCTGTCGAACATTGTTTCAAGTCAACGACATTTCGAATCTCCGCAGCGATGCGAATTATGGCTATAACGTAAACCGAGCTTTATTACTTCGAGTGAGGCCTAGCAAAAAATTGACGTTTCCACGGCCCGCTGAATATTATGTTTAAACTACATGTATGCTATGTCCGTAGAGGGTTGTTTAATTGAGGATTTTGTGTCAAAGAATACAACTTTCAGATTTTTCAACTTAATGCTGCGCAATTTTCTGGTCGTGAAGTCGAGTAACAACGATCTCTCACACGCAAAAAGTCCGTGCGTTTTTTGTTTCTAACAGTCCATCAAGAAATATTTTGAATGAAGCAGTTTGTCTCGAAATATTTCTTGGTCACTTTCGTCTTGTTTCTCATTCACAGTTTCCAGGTAACAAGTCCAAAGGCGTGTTTGGACAAATACACAAAAATTAAAGTGCACCTAAACCCACAATGTTTTTCGCTTAACGAAATAAGCGTATTTTTTGGAGTATTTCTGTGCAAAAATTTTTTTATTTGCTCAAATCTTCAATTTTCTGTGCCCAGTCAAATTACGGAAAATCGGCCGCCATCTTGGCTCACGACCGAGTTTAAAGAGGAATGGCTCTAGCGGGTAATGTGACGTCAAATCGAGAACACGAAAGTCTGCATTTCACACATTTTCACTTGTTTGGGAAGGTTGTAGTCGATATTGTCCGAAAATATGCCGATTAAGTGTGTTGTAGCAGGATGTAGCAACGTGCGAAATTTGCAAGAGGGTATCGCGCTTCATACATTGGATCAACAAATCGACCAAACGTATTAATTTACCAACCAATCTGCCAGTTCACAAAGTTCTAACTAACTTACCAAAACTACCCACAAATTCAACCAACGAGAGGCAAATCAACCAAGCTAACCAGCAAACAAACCAAACCAACAAATGATCCATTCACTTCAACCACCAAATAAAGAAAGGAAACAACTGAATAATACAATCAAAGCAACCTGCCAAAATACAACCAAGCAACCGAAAAACGACACAACCAGGCAACTATCTACGAATTGAATAAATACAAAGAAACCATAGAACCCAACCAACCAACCAAGCCAACATATGGGTCAACCCACCAACTAACACTCTACAAAAAACAATCAGTGAAACGACCACATCAACCAAGCAACCAACCAGTTCGTCAGATTAAACGACCATCCACCAATCACTCCAATCAGCCAACCATCCTGGACGACCAAATAAACTATCTACGCACCTCTCCATCCTATCATTTAACCATATATGTGTATACTAACAAAATGCAAGGGTGCCAGCATTAGGGTTATGTCCTCTACTGATTCTCTTTTTACCCGTTGCAAAACACTAGACTAAAATTTTTCGCCAACACCAGGAACGAAATGAATACCTGGTCGTAAGGAGATGTGAGCTGACGTTAATGCTGATAACTTCATTCTTACAAATTCTTCAGCGAACCGGAGTGCGCCCCAACTAGTGTTTGGTATGGTCAGCGTTTCCTTCAGTTCACGCGTGTTCTCTGCATGTGATGTTGCAGTAAGACTATCCAGACTACAGGACTGTGCAAGTTCATGGAACGTATGAAGAGCAGCATCGGAAAAGCGATTACTTTCTTCCCGAGAAACGTTCGGACAAAGCTTTTCGTGGCTTTTCAGTGGATTTTTCACATTTCGCAAATGAAGGGGATCATCGTCTGTCACTAAACTGTAATAATAAAAAAATTTGATCAATAGATGCCCTGGAGTGATGTCACTTATGAGACCTTTAAGTCTTTCTTGATAATCGTCTCTCAGCACTTCATTGCTCCATACCCTCTCAGCCTCAGTTTGTTCGGCGCTGGACGGTAAACCAAGGTGACGTGATGTGAAGTTCTGCAAATCATCGCTGCTCAACTGGTAAAAAAGTATGATAAACAGAGGAAGATTACTGACATGCCGACAGTGGCAGTGAAAAAATTAAACTTCAATTCTAGACTTGATTGAAAGGAAGACATATATTTTCAGCGCGCATCATATCCTGTCTCTAAATTATTTGTCTGTTAGTTTCATTGGCATATATTATCATTGAAAGTGAGCCTATGCAGCTAGTAGCATTTCACTTTCTTTTTTAAATATTTCATTCACGAATGAAGGAGACTAACCTTATTAATCAAGTTAGATTCCTCACAAAAGACGAGAAAAAGGGTTGCCAGGTTTTCGTCTGACAGGAAGCCGTGCCCCGAGTTCTCAATAAGATGCTTTCGTCGCCCCCAGTGTATTAAAACTAGCAGCAGATGGAGGAGTCGAGGACACCGCTGAACCTGCATACTGACATAGACACTCTTTTGGAATCTGTTGGAGTCTGCTGTAATGTAGTAGTCCTGCTTCAATAATTTGAAACCTAAATAAAAATGCAAAGAAAGGACAATGATACATTTTCTTTCGTCTAATAATTGGCAACCTAGATAAAAAAAATCAGGACGCTTTTCAAAGCTCTCGAGACCATAACTACACCATTTTAAAAGGGTCAATAAGGTGGTCTAACAGAGGTAGTCAATTTATAGAAAATAGAGCTGAGGTAGTGTTAGAAAACAACACATACTAAGTTGTCTTAATTCTTTGACATTAACTTATTTCATATACCTTGAGAGGAGCGTTGAAAGTGTAGAACCACAGGGTGTCTTTGCATTTGGACTTCACCCGCTCGGTCGAGTACTGTTCTTAGCCATCGAAGGCACTCATACTGCTCCCTCTCAGATGCATTCCATTTAAAATGAGCATAAATCTCGACATGGGTCTGTTGCTCGTCTCCGACAGAGATCCCAGTCAGCGAGGAGTCGAATAAAGCCAGCTTTGGTACCCGGGCCTCTCCAAGAAGACGGTTTAACGTATTCTTTAGCTTATTTCGCTCTTCAATTTGAACCTCTCGGGTATCAACTAGCTCTGATTTGAACTTATCAAAAAAGTAAGCTGCTTGATCTGTTATGACGTCACCGACTGCATCAACGGCATGTTGTGCTGGAGTTCCATCCCTCTCCCTCTCTTCATTCTTAGCTTTTTTGATACTTGCCAGGATACGGTCCACCACCCAAGGAAAACTGAGTAATCTTTTCAGGTCTCCTTCTTGCTCCCGTCGATGATTTGGATCCGTAGACGAAGCAGTCGTCTGAACTTCATCTTTACCTTTGTCTCCATAAGTTGCCATGTACCATGCCGAAGCTTTCTGCAAAATCTCATCGGGAAAGTAACCAGTTTTTTCAAACTCATCCATCACTTCCTCTTCTCCACCGAATTCATCGTAAAATTCGTGACGCGTTTTTGCACGTAGTGTGGACAGACTTGCTTGAATCATCTGCGCCACTTCTTATTTTTCATCGGTTTTACCAGCGAGGCGAGTGTTTACTTTAACAAGGCAGCCAGTTATCACTTCTCCTTCATTTCTTAAGCCATATATAGACATCAGCCCAGCGAGCTTTGTGTTGTAGTGATTTCTCACTGCCTTCGCCTCTTCAAGATAATGCGCGTATCCTGGAACGATCAGGTCTGGGTCGGGAGTGATCTGTGTCTGAGAGACCTCGTTTGAGAACTGCTGGGCACGATCAAGGGATTTACACTTGCGGAAGAGTTTTCCCAAGATCCTTTGAGAACTGAAAATATAAAAGAATTTATTCCTATGCATACATCATAGAAGAATGATTAAATATTCATTTTCAGAGTCATATAACAATAAATGCTGTCGTGTGTGGAAGTGTGGATCAACAAACCTCCAAATAATTGTTAGTCTTATAGTGTAGCCATTTCTCGGTTGTGGATCGCTATAATTCGCTCACAGCTGCGATAAGGTCGTTTGGGTACGTGTCACTTTAGATGCATAATGGTATAGTGTTACAAGCTGTTTTTCTGTCTATTAAATAGGCTTAAGCACTCACGATGATCTAAATGTGATATAAAATAAGAATTGGCTATCATCGGCAAAACTTACTTGTACCGGGGTTTCCCGGATTTCATCATGAAGTCTGGGTACTGATCTGGCCTCAAATCTTTCGGCAACGACGGACACTTCCCTGTTTTTGGAAAATCTACGGCATCCGAGTGCATGTGGGCCAGTTTGATACAGGCGTCCGAAAATACACCTAAAATGAAGAAACGTTACATTAATGAGGGCTTTCAGTGATCTGTGCTTCGCATTAGTGTCGCCACAGTTGTCCTATCCTTTAAATTCGACACCATAACCTTACAGATGGGAAGGTATCATCGTATATAAAAGGAGTCAATCTAGTACTTGCACAACACTTCATCAGCCTCAAACGATCGCAAACACAAAGACAAGTAACGTAGAAATACTATTAATCCTAAGGACACGATTTCACTTTTTAGATGGTAAATGTTTCGCTCGGTAGCGCAGTACGTAAATGATCTTGTTCGTCTTAAAATGGAAGCCGCACGAAATAATGATGAAATACATGAATGAAACAAATTAAACAAATGAAAATTGAATCAAGAGTTCCAGAAGGGAAATAGAAACCCAGAAGTTCAGATTGCACGCCCCGATTGCATCGAGGCAGAGGCGATCAATTATCTCAGTCTGAAATTCCATCTTTCATTACAAATGACCATCCAGTAACGCAGCTTCCCTCCACGAAATCACTTGGCGTACACATTGATCAAAACTGATACTGGAATTGTCCAATACAGAGTGTTTATCAAATGATTGCCTCTTTTGAATTAAAAGAATAAGGTATTTTATTCCTTCAAATGTCCTAATTGGTTTGTATAATAGCATAGTCCAGCCAAACTTTGATGATTGCAGCGTTGTTTGGGGAAACTGAGAAGATCGTTGTTTGGGGCGACTGAAACTAAAAACAGAAGCTCCAAAACCGTACAGCTAGTATTTTGCTGAATGCGAACAATGAGGACGACATTAACGAGTGTAGCAGCAGAGCTACTACACTAACACCTTTCGATTATCCATACGACATACAAAACAACTTGGTTTATTGAAAAGGAATCCCAGAAAGTTCGTTTACATGCAGTGATGATTGCTACTATTGATTTCCTTTGTAGATAGTTGATCTGGAAATGATGAACAGAGCAGTAGGGAAAACTACAAGAAAGCAATAGAACCTAACATTACAAAGCGAGTACGAATATACGATAAACAAAAAACAAATCCCTAAAATAAATAGAAAGACCCACATCTGTGTCCTAAATGCCTTACAACGCCTTCGGTAGTCCTTATTAAACCGTAGAAGTAGAGTCCTTGAATATTATAAACTTTAGGAACCTTAACTTAAGCATCTACACAAAACGTTTTTCGAAAAAACGTCACACAGTCCTAAACTAGCGTGGTCATCCGGGACCTCTCGGTCCCACCGCGATATTGTACCACCGCGGTACAATAAAGACATCGCACACGATTTGATGCACCAACGAGCATTTTACAGGCACTTGGCTGGCGAAATCTTAGTCATCAAAGACTAGCAGCCATCTTTGTAATGATTAAAAAAACTTCACATGGATTGACCCCTGAATAATCATATTCATACCGACTGAGGAATTCTGAGAATAAATTGGGTCTTCCAAAACCCCGTGTGATCCAAAAAAGATATGATCCTTCCCAAAACTGTTGGTGACCCTTCTCTTTTTGGTTGCATAAAATGTAATGATCCTACCTAGGTCCACACACGACACGCGTCATGTATACTGCTAGAATCAGTGATACGAGGTTATAGGTTTTAGACAATTGGGGTTTTGATGCTTGATTTAAGATAGACTGAAAAAAAAAGATTCGAATGTTTGCTTTTGTAATGATCGTAACTCTTAGTGGATAATAGTTAAACAGAACGATACAGTTCTTTGATATTTTGATTTTCTCTAAATATTGTGGTCAATTAATTCTTAGTTTCATCAAGGTCCATTCTGTTTCTCCTAATAATCTGAATCGTAGAAGCTTACCTTTATCATCGTGGTCTGCATGGACAAGATGAGCATTTGCTATAATTCCCAGTTGATCATTTTTTATATAGTCTGCTACAAACTGAATCATAACAGGCACTTCTATGGGTCTGTGTAGCACCACCCTCTCCGGGGATGTGAAGTCCATTGGGGCAACGTTATCTTTAGGTGGGAGCAACTTGTCATACCACGTGACAAAATACTTGTCTCCGTCGAGATCTGAACCTGACATTTCATCTGAGTGAGGTCGGTTGCCTTTGGCTGGAAAAACAACGCAGTCGACCAAATGGTGAAGAGCTGGGATATCCACTGCTTCAAAAGTGCGCATGTCACCTATGAATAGAAAATTAAGTGGTAATAGTGACGTGGAAGCTCACTTTAGAACGAAAAGGCACGACGAAGTCATACCACCTTACCTCTGTCAAGTATTATGTATGATGGAAAGGAAAATAATAAAAATTCCAATTAATAATTAAGGAATTGTAACTGAGAAAATCCTTGCAATGGAAGAAAATCCTTTTAAGAACCAGTAATATACGTACTTTACA